CGCTCCGGCTCCCCCCGCCTGGGCACCCTGTCGTTCAGTATCTCGACGTTTATGAACTTGAAGTGGCCTATCCTGTTGTGTACAACGCCCTTCCATAGTCCGCTCTTGTTCATCTGTACCACATCGATTACGTCCCCCTTCTGAAACAACGTTGCCACGCAAGCATTCGTAAGGGAAACCCTTTCATTACGATATACGTTCGATCAAACATTATCAAGTTTCCCCTTTAGATTTAGTTTGAAAAACAGGAGCCAGAATAAGCGAAAAAAAATGACATACGAATTCCAATATAATTTCTATACTGAAAAAAAAGTCCGATAATAGCTACCAAATATTGAGTGAAATAATTTCAATCAAATATGTTCGGTTAATATAATAATAAAAAATAATTTTACTTTCTTATAAATATTTAGCAAGTCATATCAAACATAAAAATATAATCAACCATTTGGTAATATTTATTAAATATTTAGGAAAGTAAAATTATTTTTTATTATATTAACCGAATGTTTATTCAATATTTTATTCAATATTTGATAATTACTACTACAGATTCTTTTTTCAGTGCACTCGAGATAATTAAAAACAGCGAGTAGTAGCGAACATAAAGGTACATTGCCAATTATACCGTCGTACTTGCAAGTAATAACGATAAATTTACCGTAACGCTGTTAACGTTTACGGAGTTTCGCATAGAATTTCGATTATCATGAAGACGGACCTTGAACTTTAACGCGTCCTTGTCGTAAGGACTGGGCGTGTAATCCACCAGTGCCCTAGCTCGACACAGGACGGGGCCGATGGACGTCGGGCTGACGGCATCTCTGTCCTCGCAGGATATCGAGCTGTGATTGCTTCCTGCGCGTACCAGAGCCTGCGTGCTTGAACCGCTACCGCTCGGCAGGCTCTCGACGCTGCTCGCACTGCACGGGAAGGCCTCCGAGGAGGCGCGATCCTGGCGCAGCCTCGAGATCTTTCTCTGCACGTCGTGCCTTAAATTCCTCGCACGGCCTGCGATACCCGCCCTGGCATCGCCCTCGAGCAGGGCGCTGGCCTCCGACTGGAAATTTTAATTGAGTTTTGGAGAACATCGGGGTCGCACCGTGCCCGGAATACGTGTTCCATCGAATGCATCGGGAAAGGAGCGGCGACGCGCCGGTGGCGCGTTAATTAAATCGAGGAGCTATGTGAAATAGGGATCTCCATTGGCCGAGCCGTTTTCAATAATGCATTTATGGCGCTTTGGAATGTGACACGATAGAGAGTTACGCGCAGAGCGACGCCTGACATGAAAAGTATACCATCTTGATTAGATCTTGGAGAGTCGATTTGTTTACATTTAAATAATCATAGATTATTGCACATCATCTATTAAATGCATATGAAATAATTGCAATTTGCCATCATCTATTAATTACTTGGCCGCTTTATTGGATGCATATTTATCTCTATTACGATTAATTAATTGCACCTTTTTCAAAACATTATCACATAACTCCTCAAGTTTTCAGAAATAAAAACAACTTTTTTCTTTAATGTGACATTTTTCTTTAATGTGTTGAACGCAGTTGGAAAGTTTGTATTAATTTAGCACAAGACGAATATGCTAGAAAGTAACACATATATTACGTGAAAAAATTAATACAAAAATGTAACACTGACACAGTTTGTAAGTAAACTGTGGAAGCATTTTTTTCAGTAAAATTAACATTTAGAAAATGTTAAATTAACACGTAAATTATTCATTTATCTTAGAATTTACGTTTTAAAATATATAATTTTTATATTATTTGTTCACTTATTCATAAACTATGTTATTTTGAAGAAATGGTGAATATTCATTTAATATAAAAATGTAAATAATATAATCATATTATATTAAATTAAAAGTTGGATATATACATATATTAAAAATTTAATATAAAATTTTAACAAAAATGTGAGTAGACCGTTTTTTAAACACAAATACGAAACGTTCTTTACTGTGCATGCATTTGCAACGAAAATGATCGTGAGATATTTCAATAGAAGCAAATTATTCTCATTTCCAAATCTATACGCTGACGTCAGTTTGTCAATGGAGTAGATAAATGTGTTAGGATTATTTCATTTGTTTGGATATTTTATAAAATAAGATACTACCACAAAAGCATGCTACATTTGAAGCAGAATAGGTAAATGGTGCGAGCAGGAAATCCTCAGAGGAAATCAATGTGCGTTCGAAATAAGAATAAAGACAGAGTACGCCAATTTCGTTTGCGTAAATTGCCATGCAATCCAATCTGTTAGAATAACATACTCATATATATGTATATTTATTTCTATTCCCATTAACTTTTCAATCATGATAAAACGACATCACAATAGTAATATTACGCCGTTATTCTATTATCAACGGAAGGTTATATATTACCGTTGTTGTCGTAAAACGACGCGTTTATCAAGTGATAGACATACTCATTATGAGATGTATACAAAAGCCTGTATACTTATGACAGACAATCACGACGTTACTGTGATTTTATGCAAATATGACTTAATTGGATAAGATCAATAAACTCCGTTTTGCGTTATGGAAATTAAACGCTATGAATACTCGCGATTGAATTGAATATTATGAGTTTCACGATAAACATCTATAAAATGTAAACAATTTCGTATATTAATTGACTTTCTAATCTATCTTTCATGTATTAATCGACTTTCTAATCTGTCTTTTCTTTTTTAATCTTTCATGTGAAAATCATTTCATTAAATTATAATACTTAGCTATTAATAGCAGCAGAGAAATTTATTGTAATGTATAGGCCGCGTTTTAAAGGATATGTATATGCTTGTATCAAGATCTACTGTTTATTTATTTCTGGAAATTCAAGGCAGAAAATATTACATAATACTTTTAGTTTATTTAGAGTGAGTACTCGGAAGCGCAGAAAGATTCCTGCCTTTCTATCACGGAACAAACAGAGAGGGAATGCAATACTTTGTAATTCTACTAATCGCCCGTCAGAGACAGTTGTGTGCACAGGCATGTTTTTCTTAGTTATCGTACTGTTTGGACGCGCTGCCTGTATCTATTCGTATAATAGTGACTGAGGACGCCATGCATCTGTGTATACACGTAGAAATGGCGAAGAAGGAAAAATGCGGAAAAAAATAAAAATAGAATCTGCACGTTTTCCCGAAGGACTACTCTCATACGTTACGTACTGTATGTACGGCGGCCGAGTGTTGACTTTCGAGTTCTTCTTGATCTTCGTAATCGCTACTCTGGCTCGGTGACAGTCCCTCCTCGCCGCTACTCCGACTCTAAAATGTTGACACCTCGTAGAAACAGTTCTAATAGCGAAATACGGAAGGAGGAAGCGGGCACACTATGATGGATCTAATAGCGCGCGGATGCTGTTAGACAGGGCGACGGTTACGGGCATATCGCTAAGTAATATCGGACACGCGAGACCGCCACTGGTGGTTCAGAGCAGGTATGAAAGGCACAGAGGCATAAAGATATACAGTACCCAATATCAAAAATATTATACCGTACGTGCAAGCGCAAGGGCTACCTCGAAAGTTTTTTTTTTTAATAACATAGTATGTAAATCTTGAAGTAACTGCAATCGATACGCGAAAATGTAGAATCTTTTATCTAAACAGATTTCTCTAAATACTTTGGAGTAGAATCTCATTTTAAAAAATAAAAATTAAGCCAGTTTTAAAAGAGTTTAATTTTCAATCTTTAAGAATGAGATTTTAATCCTCAGAGACATTCACTCTAAAAGTTTTAGAGAGATTGTGTTCACTATTAAAAATCTATTATCCATGTTCAGTATAATTTCATAAATAATTGTACGATAAAATAATTTACGAGATGTGTATGGATAAAATCTCTGTTAAGATTAAACTGTTTTCAAATACATATTTTGAAAGTATACATAACCTATTAATTGTTTCCAATGTTAAAACATTTAATATTCCTTTCGAGGTAACTTTCGCGATAAACTAAATAATAGCAACAGATATACATGAGTTAGGGGAGTTAAGTATATAAGTGTTACACACGACGTGTTAACCACGTTATACATTCGATATATTAATAGAGAGGGGGATTGCGTGTTACATGAGAAAATAAAGAGCGTATGCAGGCTACGCCGGTTTAGATGGGTTAGTGATATACTTAATATTGGCGTGTCAGTGTGTGAGTATTATTTATACACATAGAGGCTGTCAGTGCTGTGTAGGCGTCAGAGCAGGAAATGAGGCACCTTATTCTGGGGTGCTCTGATCAGATTATGAGGTTCTCCAGTTTTTGCTTAAACGTCAAGCACGATTATTATAATGTTGCACGCCCAACTATCACGATTGAACTACAGTAAAGATATAAATCAAATATACATATAGATATGTGTATAAAGCGCAAACCATGGATCATGCTTCGTCAAAAATTTTAAAGGTGTCATTTTTATCAACGAATCCTTTATAAAATTTCTAGTTTTAAATATCTTAATGATTATATTATAAACTTTATTCCTTAAATTCATTGCTTCTTATATTTTATATATTTTTATAATAATGTGTTATAGTATTTTATCTTTGTTATGATAAACATTGATCGACGAAAAAAAAATATGAGAAAGAATTATTAAGAAAGCATACATTTCCCGGGAATTCAAACAAGACGCTGATAAATGCTGAAGCTCTACCACGGTAGTGGTATCCGATCGTTATCAAGTTTGCGAAGTCGACGAAGAATAACGTTTGTTCGGCGGACGAGGAAACTGGTAGATTCGACGTGATTTCAACGCAATCGCCACATTGTCGAGCCGTCGTGCCCGATTCCTCGCAAACAATCCGTAAATCTCGTGGATTCTCATTGTCCGTCCGACGAATGGATCGAGTGGCTCTCAGCGCCTGGATTCACCGAGGCAACACGCCGGAAACTGACCGGAAAACGGCAGCATCTCACTCAAACGTAGCAACCGTACATATGGCAATCGACCACGATGCAATTTCTCCGCGAGGGAATCTCGCAATCTGACATGCACGAGATAAGCCGAACGAAAAATCCATATTCACGAATACGAAAATCCTCACATTTATTGCATCTAATTAGTCAGGATACTCCTACGTCTTCTGTTTTCGAAGACGTTCGACATAGCTAAATGTAATAAATCGAGCACATACGTCACGCGCCAGACAAGCGTACACAGGTGGATTAGAGAGAATAGTATGGAAACTGGCATGGATGTGCCTGCGGGAGAGGTGATAGGGAGAGAGCTACGTCATCCATAGATTCGGCAGATACGAACATATCTGGGAACCGGGCGGCGTTGCGCGTTGCTTTGCGGTGACGTTGCGTCGGTGACGGTGTTGGTAACGGTCGTGCTAGCGGCGGGGTGACGCTGATTGGATCGGGGTGAGACCGAGTGGTGATGTTCGTGATGATGGCGATGGTTGTGACGGTGCTCGTGGTGATGCTCCGGCCGATCGGGGTGGCGACCGCCCACCGAAGGCTGGTCGCTCCTACTCGTGTCCACCGACACAGTCGACAGTCTCGAGCTCACACTCTGCAGCCCCAAAATTAAATAAATCACGCCGTGACGTACGCCCGCGAGAAGGTAGGCGCCAACCTTTCTCTCCCAACCCCAACTCCCGTTGTACGCCCATGGGATCCGAGCCGGTCGGATCTGCGCTTCTCACAGGGGAGATCGAATTTGAGCGAGGGCTAAGGGAACCCAACAACAGTACCCGCGTCCTCTGCGTGGTGCGCTTATCGCAATGCAGTGACTTAATGTAATTTCGCTATGGAGTGACGACTACAATCTAACGGGATTTATCCAGACTGGATTCGGTCCTTCAATATTACGCCACGTTGCAATAATATTACCCGCGACTTAACGAGATTCGTGACTTACTTGGGGCACGGTGATTTGGTAATTTTGAGCGACGGAATTCTGAAGGGTAGCACTTGTTCACTTTGTCAAGGCCAGTTAATCACGCTAGTTAACCAAGACTAGCTACCTCTGAACGTAAATAAGAAATTACAAAAACCATAGCACAAAAATATCACCGAGCTTTATTTTTAAAAAAGGCACTACTGTTGGTTACTTATTCACATATAAACATTCCGCTGCTTATACTAACAATAAGATATTAAAGCATTTATAAGACGATGTAACTTGATTGCACTAGCAGCAAAGGAATTTCCGCATGAACGCGACAATGTTTGTAGTGCAACGTTTACGAAGTGACGTGAAGTTACCCGGATTGTCGCTCGATGACGATGGACTTACCTGCACGTCGCTACTCGCGTAATCTCCGCTCTCACGAGAAGCTCTCGAATGCGTTAAGGGTATGATCGTCGGTGGATTATTGTGACCCTGAGGAACAATGAGACCTCGCATCGTTGACGTTGCACCTTTCCTCGAGCGATCGCGCGGCAAACTGATATCACCGGCTGTTCGAAGAGATATCACACCCTCGCTTCGATTCTCCGGCCTCATATTCAGCGTGAAACATACCCTGATATTCGATTGTGTTATTTAATCGTAATGGAAAGATCTGTATTTTTTCAAGATTCATAAAACTGTATCACTATACTTATATAAAGGAACCGTTGGAACTGTCCCTCACCGATTCTGATAAGCTTTGGATACGTTGTAGAGTACAGCATCAAAAACAATTAAACTCATATTTTTTTATCTGATTATCTCAAGGTTTAAGGATTGAAACTATTCCTGAGGGTGAAGTAAATTAAAAATTTTTCAAAAAAATGTGAATAAAATGTTATTAAGAGTATGAAATATTATAAAACTTTTGTATAAAGCATTTTTATATACCTCATAGTTTCGAAGATATTCGCGAAAAATGAAAAAAATCCTTTATTTTTAAGGTTGTTCAATTCCTAAGGCATGAAAATAAAAAAATTTGAATCTAATATTTTTATATGTTCTGCACGTATCCAAAGCTTATCAAAATGTCTATGACAATAATTCAAATTTATTCTTATTTTAAATTGTGGAAACATTACCTTCCATTTTGAATAGTTGCGGTAGGTACTGGACCGCCACTGGCTCCCATAAGAAAGTCTTCGGGATCTGATTCGTAAGGTGGTTCGTCGTACCAATGACCGCCTGGTCCAGGACCTAAACTACCTGCACCTCCGCATCGCGCGTCTTCGTCGTACATGTACGTATCATCTGTAAATCATGGTTTTGTTTTCTGATTTGCGAATATTGACTTGCGAATTAATAATTCTAATACCCGATTAAAAATTAAAATTAAGTAAATATAATTAATTTTTGTGCGTGACGCATCCTATCAAATTTTGTAAAAACTTTGAAAAAAAATTATTTCAATAATTTTAAATTGAATACCGTTTGAAAGATAGCATTAAAAATAATACTTTTAACCGAAAATATATTAAAAGAATACAAAAAATAAACAAAAATTGCAAGTTTGTTGATTTAAAAACTCAATAAATGAATGTTCGTGTATTATGTCCTAATGATATACTAAAATCTTCAAAAATATGCTAACAATTATAGGATTTAAAATATTAATTATGAACTGAGTAAAATTACGTTTAATATCAGTAGATTTTAAGAATTTGGATCTACTTCTAGTATAGAAACCTGGGAATGACAAGAGTGTGCATGCCATTATGTAAAGGAAGAGAGAGGGAGAGAAAGTGTGAGAGAGAGGTAGGTAGTAAAGAGGGTTTGGAAAATGAAGATGGCGGGTACTAACAATAACGAGATTAGTTCCCGTGTGCGAAGGATTTCGCGACGTGCTGAAGCAGCTTTGTGCATAGGAAATAAAACAACTACATTAATGATAAATCGACAATAAAGAGCATATTCATGGAATATGTGAAATAACATTAGACGCACGTTGTAATTATCCATCTTTAATAATTCTCATATTAAAATATATAAATTCACATGTTATTAGTTTTATAAGTATTTCTTCTTTGTTTCATTATTTAATTATAAATGTTTGAGAATTTCTCCGATATTTTTAATAAAATATAAATAAATGTCACAAATTACGTAAAACAAGCTTTTAGTAAAATTACATTTAACTATTTATTTCCTCTTAGCATATATTCTCACAATAATAAAAGTAATACAGTTAAGAACGATAGCTATCAATACGTCAATAAGTTTTATCGTTTAAAAATAATAATGAATAAAATATTAATCGTACTTATCTTCTGTGTATTTAAATAATTGTTAAATACAATTGAATAATTTTTCAATTTACATTTTAATAATTTCTTTAAACAATATAAACCATATGACTTTACAATTTAGTTTTCAAAGAGCGCTTGTTATTATATTTCAACTTGCATTATTATTTATATTCTATGCCATCTTATATTTAACATTTAATGTTAATTGGACAAACCCTATAAATCAAAAGTTTTTTTCCTTTTTCTTTTCCAATGCAAACGACTTTTTGCGAGGCATAGAAATTATTCTGGTACGTCTCCATTTTATCGTAAAAAGCTGCTGAGGCTACGGGGAGCGAGATTTCGCGGAAGACTACGAGGGGAGCCATCAGGAAACGAATGCTCAAAATGAGTCTCGCGAGAGTGAGCAGCTACACATACGAGGTGTCAGGCATTTGGGAGTCGATTCTCATACCGGCTGTGGCACGTGCACGTTTTGTTCAACGTGTACGCACACGTTTACATTCCCGCACTCACGTATACGCCTATACATATACGGACAGGGAGCAAGAGAGGGCGGGTTATAGGTCGTGGAGAGACGAGGCGACAACTAGCGGGAGGTTAGTCCTTGATGTACTTACCCCCAGGGAGCTGACCCCGTCCGTCTCGTCCTAGCTGCATTAAACCCTGCCGGATATCCCTCAGTATCTGAAACAGCACAATGTCGACGTCGTGAGTAAACGTTTATCCGGCATTGTGATTAAAACTGCAATTAGCCGCGTTCGCTCTAGTGTTTGCATGATGCGGAATTGCTTTCGTTGATCCAACGTAATCCCGTAAGCATCGATGACGAACGCTTGAAAGATTAATCACGGAATACAATCGCCGATTAAAAATCGTACTAAAACAAATTTGATATTACAAAAAGTTTATTATTCTCATTATTTATTTAATGAAGAAATAAAAGAAAGATGTAATATTTTCAAGTTATCATCAAAGATACGTTGCTATATATTTTGGAAAATTATATTGTACGAAGATATATATAATTAAATGAAGACGATGTCCGATATAATCGATGCAGAAGAGAACTCATTATCTGGGATCTCTCATTACATAGGAGTACTTGCAAGTTGATTTTTATGTCTTCTTCTTAGATCAAGTTTGCAAAGTTGTGCAATGATTAGATTTAATCCTTGAAATCCCCGATGTAACTTTAAAATCTACAAAATGTTATTTAAATACATCAGAATCTTTCATTAAACTTTGCAGCATGTCCAGGTATTGCTTCTACGCAAATTGCTTTTCTACGTAAGTAGCTAATTGAAGTAATGGCGCGCCTAAGGACTGAATTTCATGCCGGGAGATGCCCTGCCACCGGTAGCGTAATCACGTGTAATCTAAATGGTATTACCGAGAACTTACATGCGCAGGTTCTTTCACGGCGGATAATCGCCGTTATCCGGCCAGTGTTGGACCACCATCGATGTTTTTCAGATCTTCGCAACCATACGGCGAGGCAAAGAGATGGAAGAAAGGATAAAGAGAACTGTGTACATGTATCGCGGTTTTTCTACGGTCGATGACCGCGAGTCCTCGGTAATCGGTGGAACAAAACGAAAAGCGATTATCGATCAGGATGCTGCAGACGTAATGTCCTGATGAGGGACAGCCCGGTCGAAGGTTGTTTCCTGGGCGAGAAAAAAAGACCGGAATAGCAGTCAGGGCGGAAGAAGATGAGGAAGAGGAGGAGATTGTTGAGGTGGTCGCCTGCGGCTGGTCGGCCCCTACCGAACCGAAGTTGAGGCTAAAGCGAGGGATAAGAAGTGGGAGCAACGAGAAGAGAGAACAGGAAGGACGACAGGGAGGAGGGTCAGGAAGAAAAAGAAGGAGATTCTCCAGGGAGCAATAAACCCGCGGAGGTGACACTAAAACTTTTACACGGATAGCGACCTTTATTTCCATATTGCTCAAAAGGAACATGGCTGCTTTATTTCTTCCAACGGATCCTTCTTCGGTATCTCCGCCCTTTTCTCATTCTCACCCTCCCCCATCAACCTCGAATCGTCGCACCCCCTGGATTCGCACGGTCCGTGAAAACCTCCGGTTTTCGGCAATTTCTAGCGGCCCTTTCTCGCGCCCCTCCTCTTTTAAAACTTCGCAGAATTTCACAAAGCTTACGTCCACGTAATTAAAACTCCCAGCTCGTGCACCCAGTTACGATGTTCGCGCCGTCTACTTTTACGCGTGCGATCTTTCCCTCTAATGGGCAGTTTTTGGCAAGCAGCGATGGCAGAGGAAAGAGAAAGAGAGAAAGAGAGAGTCTCTTCTTGTATGGAGATTCTCGAGGATACGCGACACACGTAATGAGCTGCAAGCTGCGCTGCCACGCTGTGGCATGGTGTTACTCTCGATGTTGTTACGTGCGAAGCGTGTGTAATGCGTCGCTCGAGTGTTCTCTCGTGTGAAGCAACGCGTTATACGCGTGCACCCGCTTATGCATGAGCCGCACAGTACACATGATTGCATCAAAACGCCCCGTTTTACGTTGAAACTGCCACTTTTCCTTCATTACTGGGTATCTTTTGAATTTGCAAAATATTCAGCGTTCACCGTGTTATTTTCTACGCAGAGAAAATTTTTCGGTCAATTTCAAATATATTTTATTTTAATGAAAATTGATTAAACGTAACATCAAATATCTTGATACAGCACAATTTAAAATGCCATTAAAATAAATTTTATTTCAAATTTGAAAAGGAATAAGATTTTATTTTATTATATGTACCGATGTGAAATTCAATTTTATGAAAGTCCTATACATATATTCTGTTCATATATCCTTACATTCATACGGAAAGAATAATTTTGTCGAAAAATGTAAAATTTTGGCTGGACACAGATCTGAAATTAATTTTTTTATCATCAAAATAATTTGGTTGGAAATTAAAAAATGCTGAGCAGTGCTACAGACGAATTTTGATATTTTGATAAACAGTTGGAGTTTTCAACAAAATTATTTTGATGGTCCAAAAAATTATTTGTTTATCTGATCCAGCAAAATTGTAGACTTTTTAGCAAAATCATTCTTTCCGTACATATGTTAATATGTATTTACATATTTTATAAATTACAATAAAAATATTTTATGTTTGTATAGTTCTCAAAAATTTAATTCTTTTATCGGAAAATATTGCAGAATTACGATAGTACAGAATGTGGCCAACAAATAATAGCACCGTAGATAAGATAAACTGAGAAGAGGAAGACTTCGATTTTTATACGTGCGGCTAACTTTTTAACGGAGTTAATTTTTTAATAAAGCCGCGCGGTCGCGACATTATCCCGAGTACCTTTTTCAAGTAGTTAATTTAGTTTGTCCCGTGGTCTCTCTTTTATATATATATTTCATTATGCCGCAGATAAATTAACGACGATAAATTTTATATCAAAGATTATCATTAAATATTGACAAGAAAAGGGTATTGCTTATCAAAGTTAATCTTAGAAGACGTCAGATCGGGTGAACGGAACGATGAAAAGGGTTGTTTATTAAAATTTTCATGGAGCCTTCGTTAAGAGTTAGCTCATCGATTTTATTGAGAAGTTATGTCGTTCTGATAATTTCTGCAACTTTCTACATTTCTTTACTAAAATTTTTAAGTCCAGCGCTTCATCAAATTTTATCGTTTAATACTGTAGATTGATTAAATATCTCCTCTTTTCTCCTAATTAATCATTCCTTGTTTCATTAAATAACTATACGGAAAAATTTAACTAGATACAGATCATGAAAATAACTTTATTGAATCTTTAAAATAATTATGTAGGATGTCTAAGCTAAAATATCAAAACTTTTTGTCAGCATTGTTCATGTTTGAGAGTTCTACATAATTTTATTTTGATAGTTAAATAAAATTATTCTTAGGTCTGTACCTTGCTAAATTTTTAGATACTTCAGCAAAATCATCCTTTGCTGGTATAAATTAAATATTATCAGCAGTAAACAGTGTAAGCTGTATTATAAACACGCTGAAATAACGTCGCTATAACACGCAATGTGCTAGTGGTTTATAGTCCGTGATTGTACATACAAGACAAGAAGAAGAGAGGCAGAAATCTCACGCTGGACGGGCATACGACGCGAAACCACACGGGGGAAAATAAGAAAAGCATAAAAAAAACCCGCACGCGTATATCGCGAGAGATCGTGCATAAGGAATTCACGACGCAACGTCGCGGTACGCATTGACGATTATGATGATATCACGCTGATCTGGCTACTTTGCATAATGAGAGGTATCAAGTTGGCGAAAGACAGTCTGAAGAAGGGGGTTAGTAGGGAGGGTATGACGAGAAACGAGCTCGTATGCACGTGGAACGGAGGAAGACGTAGACGGAGTCAAGGTAAAGGGAGGCCTTGGTGATAGCACATACATGCAAATTTCGTCCTGCGAGAATTCCGATGCGGGAGGCAGGATTGTATCGGATAAGGCTACCGGCTCCCAGGGCCAATATCAGTCGAACGACGGGAAGAGGGTTGCCGATGATCCAGGCAATGTATGGGGAGGGAACCGCGGGAAGAAAATAAACGGGACACGCGGGTTGGGTTTAATCATGATAAGACATCCCACCGTCCTTATCGCGATCGGTTACGCATGATAACGAAAATTGTCGCTCCAGCGCAAAACGCGGGACGTGAGTGTGTTCGCACACAATGCGGTGTGAGATGTATTCTTAACGGAAGCGTCATTTGGTAATTTAAAAAACGAACGGAAACAAGGACAAAACTCTCTATTTAGGTTGCGTTCAGAAACTTCACCTGGATGCACCTATATGTGTCATTTTAGCTTTGCTGTTTACCGAATGTTAAACAAGGATAAAGTGAAGTGAAGTTTCTGAACACAGTCTTACTAGGCGGAATCGAACGGATTTAATCGCAAATGCGACTGCGATCACTGGCGATTTTCGGCATCAGTTCTTTCGTCTGTGCGAGTTCATTTACAAGTAAGTTAGTTAGCGAAAACCGAAGACAAAAATTTCATTATAGACTAGGACAATAGAGATTGACTTATATAAGACGTGCACTCACCTCCTCATGCTCTTTGTGAAACCGCTCTTTCTTTCGCAGCGCTTCTTGAACTTTCAGCTGAAAAATGCAAGGGGATGGAAGCGTTCTTAAGTTTCGTTTAAAAAGGTTTTATCGGCGGTAAAGCGACTTCTTGCGGGAGTAACTTGGAGCATTTCAAGTGAATTCAAGAATCACGATTGTATGAGAGCAAGCGTAGTTTTTACTCAAGAAGTCTAACGGAAACTTATTATATATTATCCATCTTCACTTTTCAATAAAAAAATATTTTAAAAGTTATCTGATATCGAAAAGAATAACAGGCAAGTGAAATGAATTAAATATTAACTTATAACTTAAAATACATTTAGTGGCTTTAAGCATCATTTTACAAAATATATAAATGAAATATTGTTTACCCTGTGAATGGTTTCTTCGAAACTATTTGGTTGACCGCCGTTCATCTGTAGATATCTCAGTCGATCGTAATCTCGAGGATCCACCATCGAACGAAGAATCGTGTGTCCCATGTCAGGTCCGAGACCCAAACCGCTTTGCAAAACACTGTCAGGCGTGTCGACCTGTAAAAAATAAAGCACAATTAAGAGATTATTAAGGTAAATGTAATTATTATAACAACGTAATTATCATTAATTAACTGAATATTGTTAAAGAGTACATTTACGTTAGTAACGTTATATTTTTCTGTTTAATCTTACAAAAGAAAAATAAAAGATAGAAATGCAAGATACACAGCAAAAATCATATTTAAAAAAAAAAACATAGAATTTAAAACAGAATAAAGTTTATAAATAAAAAGTATTGCACATTAAAAATTTTTATATTAATTTGAGAAAGTTGAAGTCATATTCCAATGTATTTCTTTCCCGTTCTATAATATTTCCTTATCTTCTGTCCGTTTATCTGTCTTCTCCTCTACGATATAACATCACGTAAATTACTTTCACACGGAGAATTCAATTTATGCAAACGTCATAAAATAATGAGAACCATTGTAGTCATAGTCGAGACATTGATTACAAATGATCATTTGTAGAGATCCTCGCAATAGTTTATTGCAATCGTCGTGGAAATGCGCCTTCGCGCGGATACATTTTTGTACGGAGGTGTAACATTCCCTTTCATAGAGCGTCTCCTATTCTATAGAATGTCGAGCTCCTTAAAAGGGGCTGCCATTTATTCTCGCGACGTTCCTCTGCCGCTAATGGGACTCGTGCATAAGATATTCAGGACGCGGCGAGGGTCGCCATGGAGATCGTCAATTTCTCGTTCTTCAGTCCCGCGGGAAGAGAGTGAAAGAAGAAGAGAAGGAAGAGAGGAAGTACACGACGTCGTGTATTTTGGAAAAACGTAACGCGAGATTCTAATCGTGCGGGCGAAACGGGCGACGTTACGAGCGCTGCGTTAGTCGAATGATTAAGTGGAAGACCGAGAGTTTCGTTCCCGCGGTAACTTGAAGACAAAGCCCTCAAAGTATTTACAAAGGACCACCTCTTCTACGAGATTAGCCTGAGTAGAGAAATTCATCTCCCTTTCCTTACTATTTTAAGCGCCATCTTCACTGTCGTCATCGTCGTCGTTGTCGTCGTCGACGTCGTCGTCGTTTTCGTTATTGCTGTAGCGTCGTCTTACACGAGCCATCACTGTAGAGAGAAGCGGTTCACGATGAAAATTATCGCGTTGATACTCTGTAAATGCGGTCTACAGAAATTATTTCATACAGTGTCTTCAAGACATTGTTACTGAAGTGGTACAGAGATAAGGGAACATTTGTTTATAATACTGATTGTAACGTTGCATTTTATATGGATAGTACATATATTTCTGGTAAAGAAATGTACTTTCAAAATTGAAATTGCGGAACATCGTGATGTAATGTATAAAGAATTAAATATTATTAAGTGTTGCTTGAAACAATATTGCTTTGTGTTACTATATAGATCTTCGATACTGAAATCTTTTCCTCAAAGACAACAATTTTTCATCACCTTTTATATTAAAATTCTTTATTTATGCGTCTCGAACAAGATTCAGATTCTCTTATTCTTTTTCATATTGCATTTCTTAATTCTTCTCTCTCAAAAGATTTAAGTATAGAACTACTCTCATAAAATTCATCAATTTGACAAAGTCTTAAAATGTCAAATTTCTGAATAAGTCACGTAAAGAGGTATTAATATGCTAATATAGATGAACGCTCATAAACTAGAACGCTTCACGTAACTCGTTAAAAATTAATGAGTTATCGATTTTTATCGATGATTAATAAAAAATCGTGATTAGAATATCGTGAATTATGAAACGCTGAGAAAAAGATATAGACCTAGTTTTACTTACAACAAAACTACGTTAAATATGATATTTCAACTAGACAGTGCTCTCTATCTATTCTATAACTATTATTTAAAGAGCCAGTTATTTGATAATGCACATCTATTATAATTAGAATAATTTAATTTTATTCTTTTGACATTTTTTTCAACATATAAAGGAGTTAATACGAGAAGTTAACCTTTTTCCTCTAAGCTTTATCCTTTTATCCTCTTTAGCTCAAGTTTATATCCTTCATCGAATGAAGAAGCGTCCCGTTGTGAACAAATATCGACCCATCCCGCGGTAAACTCGATGCCTAAGGAAGAGAAAAAGCCGTGTTCTGCAGACGCAACGTCGGGACGATTACCTTGCGGTATACGATTTAATTAAACCACGTGGTATTTATGTTAAACGGATTAGAACCGTTTGTTTGTGCTTGCAGACTGAGCTTCCTCCACGGTAGCGGCCGTAGCATCCACTAAGCCTGAATAATACCTAGAGACAAGGCTGAGAATTTACGTCGCTCCCCTGTTTACCGGATGCGATGTTGACTTTTTCTTCTGGAGCGGACGGCGAATAACCAAAGAAATTCCAAAACCCCGGAGATGCGTTTTAAACGCATCCCTTATCTGTGAATCTCTCACGAAATCTCTATGTAATCTTTCGATACGACGATGTTATCACGGATTATTGCCCCTTATGGTATACCATGGAAGAAGAATAATACAAAGAGATATCTATATATTGTCATATCTCTTTGTATTATGGTTATCTTCCCAAACAACACGCATGTTCGGAAACGAGGAGACTAAAAGACTCCTTTAAGACGCCTTATGTCTTAATTTCGGACTTTTTTTTGTTTGAGTTAGAATTATATCGCAATCCGATGTCATTGTGCTATTCGCACTGCATAATCCTATTACAATTTTATTGATATTTTGCTTTTATTACCATACTATTATTTTTATTTGATAATAACAAGATATATTCGTTTATTTATACAATCTACATAGAAAGAACGATTTTGTTGAAATATTTATCTAAAAATGTAGGTACATACAGTAGATTTAAAAATCATTTTGTTGGGCCATCCAAATAAATTATTTAATTAATTGTTGAATTTACATAACGAGTAAAGCACTTTTCAATGAATAACGGATAATAGTAAAGAGTTATTTTCCAAAAATGAAATCCTGACATTACGAAAAGTTGTAACTTCAATATTAAATCATTATTACAAAAGAGTAATGTTACAAGTAACGTGTTACTTCCAATCCCTACAAGTAATTATGTTATGCAAATATTATATTTAAGAAAATTCAGGCATGATAAACAATGCTGCAAGTTTTGACATTCCAGCAACCAGTTTGAACATTCTACATAATTATTTTAATAGTCCGACAAAATTATTTTCAGATCTGCATTTAGTTAAAATTCTTAAAACTAAAATTTAAATATTTCAGGATAATCTCGCGGATAACTTAAAAGAATGTGAATAATTTAAAAGAATATTGCGAAAAAATCGTGCGAACTCTCGACTAAACGGATATTAAGCAATCTGACGAATTCCCACGCTAATCACGCGCAACGAATACTCCATATGATAACGAGGAGATCCTATTGCACTTACATTCTTGCCTCATCGCGAGCTAAGCAGCACGCGGCGGTTTACAGATACAAATAGCAGTCGCTCCGAGAAACAATTTTGCCCATTCATCTACCGCGGTAAGATCGACATGGTAATACATCTCGTCTGGAAATAAATGTTGCGATTGCGAGTACGCGAACGTGCGTCTTGGTACGCTGCTGATTTCCATCAGTTAGCGTCCGACCTGCGCGACTCTGTCGGCCCTTCCGGTCTCCTTCCAGGACGACCAGTATAGGGCGCGAAAGATTAAGCGGTCGTTCTCCTTCACCGTTACGTAAATCACAATAAACCCATCGCAGTCCACGCGGTCTGGGATAAATGGCGGAACGTACGGCGTGCTTGTGTACGGGAAGATCCGTTGGCTGGAACGAAGGATGGTGTCCGAGGGGATGGACCGCTCGCGTGCGATCGAACGCGAAAGGAGCGACGAGCAGTTAGAAGGCGCGAGAGGAGGAAAGCGGGGAGAAGTGATGCGGGGGTGGAGAAGGGTCAGAGCATGTATATTTTTAAGGCTAAGCAGTTAACTGGCCACCTGGGGCGGACTCTCCTTACAGGATCGGTTTATAGCCACTCTCAGTCAGCCGCGCTGTGCCGCCTACCGGTTAATTTATCCCAGCATTGTTATTGCCCCAACGCGGCCCCGGAGAAAGAAAAAGAGAGAAGGAGAGAGCCGCCGCACCTTGCCGCACCGAGACAGATACGCCGCCACGTAGCCTCGTGACAAACGCAATTAAGCATCTCACGACTTCCTACACCGAGAGAAACCTGTAATCTGGTCATCTAGCCAACTCCGTAGACTCCTACCGGGGAACGCCCTGCGGCACGGGATCGCCGTAACAGGCCGCCGGCAGTTGCATGGAATGCACCTTCGAGACCTTCGTTCGGCGCAACGACAGTGGTCGTTCCCACCGGATCGAACTGGCGGGACTCATCCGGATCGCCTCCCCGTGCGACCCTTATCAAGATCCGAACCGATTTACGAACACGGTCGAGTAACGGCACTGGCGACGTTAAACTGCTGCGATTTGTTTCTCGGTAATAACGCCGTTCCGCGCGAAGCACGATAATCGCGTTTCAGGTGTTAGAGGAACAGACAACCGGGTTGTCTATTCCGTCCTACGGCGGTTTACGTGAGGATGCAAATTATCAATTTTATTATTTTTCTTGCAAGAAAGGTATATACGTATACTATGAGACAGACGCGCGGTTAAATTTACCTTCTCGAAAAAGTACGCCGTTAACTAGCTTTTGTGTAATGTAACTTAATAAAACTTTTGTAAGGACTTCTCCAACTTCGTTAAAAAAGACTTTGTAAAAAAGAATTGAATTTCTCGCCAAAAGTTTGCAGTCAACGTATGATGTACGCCAGAGATCTATTAATGTAGTAATTATAAGTTATAACATGCGAAACGCGATTATACAGCTTGCGATTTCGTGGACGGGGTAATATGCAATTTGCTCATCCGTCTGCTTGCCAGTGCTTGCCGGATCCTCTCAGATCGCCGGAGGACACGGTACCCGCGAATAAGGTTACTACTGGATTGAACTACGGAGCTACATGTAGAATATCGTTTCCAAAGTTACGTGTAATGAACATGC